CTTTGGTTTCTCACAGACTTCACTGCACCCAGTATGGTTTCACAATGCACACCTTCACGCAGTGCCTTTGGAAACAATGCGTTTTTTCTTCTGCAGTTTGTACCAGAGGGACAAAGCAGAGACTCCTTCACCACCACTATGAGATGGAGACCAAAGTGGATTCGTGACCCTGCTGCCCCTTCCATGTCGGCACATTTGAACACTTTCTCCTGTTCCACCTCATGGACCTGACTTTTAAATCTCCATTAAGCTGCTTTCCTGAAATTTAACATCTTTCTACCAGCACAGTCTCCTTACCATCCACATCTAAAATTAACCTTTAATGGTGAGTCTCTAGGGTCTTAATCAGCCTGTTAACACTAGCTGTGTACAAATCCAAACCAGACCAAAATCATGTAATTATTATCCAGTACAGTCAAAGTAGATGCTTTTTCAGGAATTATTTATTTCTGGACATGAAGTGACCAAAACTAGAACAGAGCACTGCTGATGTCAAGTATCTTGGCAGACACCTGTGGGCAAGGCTACAATTTTCCACAGTCTTCCAACCTTATTACCTGTGGTAGTAAGCAAGGAAAAAAAAAAACAGCCACAAGTCATGGGAATAAAAAAATTCAGGAAAAGCTGAGCAAGCAATGACAAGAGAGAAACCTAGAGCTCCACTAAAGACCCTATAACATGCACATTTTGACAAAAATTTAAAAAGGAAGAAAAGGTGAAAGGCACATTTATTTTGGAGCCTGAACCCTACCTCTCCTTACAGAGGGCTCTGACAGCTAGGGACTGTTTATCCATGAATGCACACACACTTAATTTGCATTCCTTAAGCCCTTCAAAAAATGTTGATGTGGGTAAATGCTGCCACTTTTGACTTCGCTGGAAGCAGAAATCTTGCAATCCCTGCAATATTCTAATCCTGCCCAGAAATTGTGTTTTAGAAGTAGACAAAGGTAAGAAAATATCCATACCCATTCATGCCTCTGCCCCACACAGTGATTTTACTTATTTTACTTCAAGAAACAGCAGAAATTAGATGGAAAATAGAGAAATAGGGCAATGTAAACAACCCCAGCCTCTATTCCCTGTTGCATTCCCCTGAAATGCATGGAACAGTCTTATTCCTTAATGTGGTGCATCCTTCTTATTAGTAAAAGATGAAAATGCATGCCTGCGTTATTTAATATAGTCTATATACCCAACCGATGCACATGCTTCAAAAGGCTCTTCTGTTCCTGCCCTCTCCGGAACAGCATTCAGGTTACTCAGTCAAAAAGGTCCCAAGCAGCAGAGGCTGCAGTGCCATGGCAGCTTTATGGCATGTATTCATTTTTGTCCAACTTGTCCTTAAAAACCTCCAATGACGGATGGTGCAGCATGCCACAGCAGCCTCCTCCCCTCCTCACAGATCCAGAAGAAAGACAGAGAAGGACTTTTTACAAGGGCATGTAGTGATAGGACAAGGGGTAACAGCTTTAAACTGAAAGAGGGTAGATTTAGATTAGATGTAAGGAAGAAGTTCTTTGCTGTGAGGGTGGTAAGACACTGGAACAGGTTGCCCAGAGGGGCTGTTGCTGTCCCCTCTCTTGAAGGCCAGGTTGGACGGGGCTTTGAGCAACCTGGTCTAGCGTGGAAGGTGTCCCTGCCCATGGCAGGGGGGCTGGAACTGGATGATCTTTAAGGTCCCTTCCAACCCAAACTAGCCAATGATTCTGTAACAAGTTTTTCATAATTTTGCTTTTAAAATTCCCTGCAAACAGAGATAGTTGCTTCTCTGTGGATGTGAAGAACATATGAGCACTGCCCTTGCAGTGTACTCCCAACACCTGCCCTCTAATTCATCCCAAGTATGACAAATGCTCTGTGTTGCTCCTGGTTTCTCTTCAGGGCTGTCACACTATCAAAACTTTTTTACTGATGTAACATGGCGCAAGATGAAAATCAGGCCTTTCATCTTACACCATCACACACTCTCTGAAGTCCTGGCTCAGGAGGACACTTTTCATATCAGGACCCAGAAACACTTACCCTGAGGTGAACCTTTTACACCTCACAGTGGTTAGCTTTTTTGCTGGGCCCACACAAGCCTTTCTGCTGCTTCCACTAATAAAAAAAAATTTGCTGCCTTCCCTTAACACCGCATTTTCTGTCCTGAGAAAATGAAGGCCATGCCTTGCCTTGTCGCCAGCCAACTGTCCTAAATCTTGCTACGCTGCCGAAGAGCGGCTGAGCTGGTTCTCCAGCTGGCCATATAGGTGCCCTGCAGGAGCTCAGCTGGACCTACAGCCGCTTCTTTCCCCAAAGCAAGATAAAGGTACTGATGAAAGGTGTCCTACCTGTCTGAAGGCACTGGCCCTGGGTTCTCCTGGAGCTCAGAACTGTTCCCATCTGTTTTCCTTTCATAAGAACACTAATGTTGTCTTTGACTTTTGCTACTTGTTTTGTTTGTTGTTAAAGATGCTTTTTTTACTCCCTACCTTCGTTCAGAGGTCTGTCCATTCGTACAAATCCTGAACTTTCTGTCTGCAGGTACATAATTTAGCTTAATTGCCTAATTAAGATGTCCATTCTTGACTTAAAGCCCCTATACAAATCACATGAAAAGTTTTCCTAAATCTGCAGGATTTAATAGCCGAGATAACTAAGCACAGTAGCACAAGTTATGGACTTTCAATCAAAATGAATACAAATATCACAAGGCACACAGACCTTCTCTATGCAAAGGTACACTGTTAATAACAGCTTAGAGACAGAGCTAAGGTTAGGGGGGACAGACCCTCATATTTCCATGAAATACACTAATAAATAGATTACTTCAAAATTATCTTGCTTTAAAGTTATCTAACTGAATCCAGTTTGCTACTGTTACTTTTAAAAACAACCTTTTTATTCCCCTCTTCAAGTTGTGACCAGTTATTCACATCCAAATTTCTGCGTCAGTTAATTGTTTTGTCTAGAAATACTAATGAGAAATCAGCAGCTTCCACTGATGTCTTTACCACAACAAATCTTAAGGAAGAGCCCAGAAACATGTTATCATCTTCTTTTTCAGAGGCATATACAGCTTTCAGAGTGACCTTCTCACACTGACTTCATATTGACTCATACATCCTTCATTCCTCTATATTATCATTTCTAAATCACAGAAATGACATCAAAGAAACCATAAAGGTCTGACTTTTATCACCAAAATAAATTCTGATTTAATGTACTCTTTACAATACTTAGGCACAATAGAATACATGATTACAGCATAGCAGAGGTAACAGTATACCCATCCTGTCTTGTTAACTGAGGATGCATGGTATACTCCCACTTAAAATGTGAACTTTGTAGCTTTTATGGGTTTAATTTAGACCCTTGGGGCTACATATGCATTGAATACTGGACACATAACATCCATTATTGTGGTTGCACACACAATTATTGATGTTTAACACAGAAAATCAGCTGCTTCTGATTTAAAAAAAAAAAAAAAAGTTTAAAAAAAAAAACCCCTTAGCCCACAGTTTAACTAAAATGTTCTGAAAATGACAGATACTTGATTTTTCCTTTAAAGGCATGATTCTGAAAGAAGCAGAGCTGTCTGACAGTGGTTAAAAAAAAAAAGCACGCTTAAGCACGTGGGAATTTGACTGAAACCAGTAGGGCTACTTATACCCACCAGGATAAGGATGTGTTCAAATGCTTTTCTGGATTTGGACCAGAACCCAGTAAAATCAATCTGTAAGACCTAATTTGAGTGCAGACATGCATACAGATTTTAGGTGGGTTTGGTAAAAGAGACTGTTATTAAATTTGTTTGACAGATCCTTATTTAAGATGCAGATTTTACACACCAGATGCCTGCCTGAAGCTGAGTATTTCATGGGAAAAAAAAATAAAAGAAAATTGTTAGATAATTTCTGAGAAAATACATCATTTCATCTGACATAACCTAATTTCTGAGTTTTTTAATTTGCAGACTTAAACTGTACCCCCTTATACTTCTTAGCAGCTCCACAAGTAAAATACAGCAGGAGATTGTTTAGTCTCCTATTTTTGCTATGGGTTTTTCATATGCCATTCGTTGAAAGCATGCACTGCTTCAAAATGTAAATGTACTTTTAGTTATTAAATTCTAGGAGTAAAAATACTGTTTAGATTTATATATACAAATTTGATCTCCAGAATGAGAGATATATATATTCACTCTTCTTGTTAAGAAAGAGCCAAACCCACCTCCTTTACACAACCTTCATTCATTATGCCTAAAAATGTCTGGTGTTGCCTGATGGAAATAACACAAACAAACTTATGAAATGTGTTTTTTAATTAAAAGCCCATTTTGTTATCTGGCAACATGAAACAAATGGTTATCAGACTGTTAAGTCTGACAATACTGAATTGGCACTTTGTCTACGGCACAGATTTCACATTTATCTGCATGCTTAAGTGCTGCGCTGGACAGAAACGAAATGACAGTCAACCTTCCAAAACAAACCCGCAGGGGACCTGGATGAATGTTTGGTTTATCAGGAGGTTCGCTCTAATAAGATGCTACATCGGAATAACGAAGAACTATCCATTTGCACTCAACAGAAATAGACAGTAATGCTGTGGCAATTATTTACACAAGTCAAAATTCTGGTATGGTAAAAAAAAAAACCCTGCAAAATCCAGCAAATGATGAGAAAGGCAAGCTGTATGCAGGTCAGCCTTATGCAAGGGTCTGCCTAATTTGGCTAACTATCAACAAAAGAACTTTTTTTACTGCTGGACCTGCTGAAAACAGGTTTGTTATAGGCAGGGTTTGTTCCAATGAACTTGGGCTGCAGGGCAAACTTAAGTATGATGCCTTTAAAGGCAGGGCTTTATTTTTCAGTCATGGCAATGGTGCTTTTGACTCAAGTCAGGAGGAGGAGGAGCAGACCTTCTGTCAATGATACTGTCAGGCTCTGATGGTAATTTCACACACTTGCTCAATACACAGGCAACTGCTGTGGCAACAGTAAATGCTTCACCTTGCCATGCATGAGAAGGCGTATGGTAAGTGTGACATTGAGACCTCCTTCAGTCACTTTTGTGTCCTTCGTGTTCATCCTGGCCTTGTATCTTCAATATTGGAAAGCAGCTTCGTTTTTCTTGTTTTTTTTTTTTCTATTCACTTAATCAACCTACAAAGAGAAAGAGAAAAAGAAAAGGTACCATTGAGTGGCTGAAGCTACTGTGAACTGAGAATATCATGTTGTACAAACCAATCAACATTCCTCCCTTTGATTTTATGAATACAGTTTAGTGCTGAAAAGGCTCCTTTGATTATTATCCCTCCCCAATCAACTCTTTAGCCCTTCACCAATTATAAGATAAACTCCCTTCTGGAACCTAAAAAATTCTTTTCAATTCCTGTATTTCAAAACTGAAAGTACAGAAAATAAGAGTGAAATACAATGTCGTCTTCTGAACAGCACTTTCTCTCTGTTAACCTGCATTGTGTATGTATATGTAATATATATATATATATATATGCATTTTTACACATGCCTGGTGTTGTTCTCATTTCTCTCCTTGTTACTACCTCATTTTCTTTTTGCTCTTGCAGAAGAGATTTTTTTTGTTTTCTCTCCAGCTAGAGAGAAATTAATTCTGAGCCTAAACACTGATCCCTGCCAGCAACAGCGGATGACACGTTATCAAAGACATCTGAGTAACTAAGAGCCACTTGCTGCTGTAAATCTGGGCACTGTCTGACTTCGTTTTTGTCTACCAGGCCCAGAGGTGGCTTAGTCCCTCAAAGGCCAAAACTGAGCTTCAGCCCTAAGTAGAAGGATATTTTTCTTAATTCCTAATGACAAATTGCAGATTTTCAGTCATTTACAAAGTCATAACTATCCTAAAATGCTAATAAAAGCTGTAATGGCTGTCTTTGAAAGGATAAACAAGATGCATTATGAGTTTATTAATGCAAGGACATTTTTCAGTACAGACAAAAATGGGGGCAAAAACCAACGGCAGGCAAATTCCACAGCAGAAAAGGCTTAGAGACTCCTTATTTAGTTTTGTCTTTTTCAGGAGTATCTTACAGAACATAGGCCCTTAAACACACATGACGCCTCTCAGTAACCAACCATCCCTTATTAACGACAACCCTATTAGCTTTGTATCTTGGAGCTTCTAAAAAAATTTGGCTAGCTTGGGCACCGGTTAATGAGCACCCCTAGGGACAACCATTTTGTGGCTCAGAGCGTACAGCAGTGTCTCACTGGGGTGCTATTGTCCCTTTGTGAAGATTGCTCAGGCATGGGACCTACGAGATCATTCCTCTAAAAATGCTGGAGGTAGTATCATGCAAGCTGTTTCATGAACTGATTAAGCTTTATCTAAAGAGCCACTAAGCACTTACATATTAGACTAAAGTCCAACTTAATTGAGCATGTTAGGTGTGAGAAAAGTCAACAGCAATGCTTAAAGAAAGAGCACAAGAAACATGTATGGAGTCATCCCTGATAGACTTGCTGAGCTGCCAGCAATCAGCAACTCAGGGTCTTCTGGGAGACTTCATCCAGACCAGTATTTTCAATAGCCATTGGTGGACCACTCCTCCATGAATTTGTCTAATCCCTTCTTGAATCCATACATCTGGTCTCCAGAAGTTCTGGTCTCACAGATTAATTTTTAGTGTGGGAAGAAGTGCTCCACTTTATCTGGCTTAAATTTGCTGACTCTCATTTCCCCTTGTTACACATTTTGCTCTCTATTATCTGTAGACCATCCCAGAAAGTCACTCCTCGGATGGCTGAGGCTTCTCACTTCAGCCTGAGCCTGAGAGTGGTCAAGCCACTCCTGATGTTTTTGCTGCTAAGGAAATACACTGGAAGATGCAGGATTTTCTCTCAAGTCTCTGCAGGAATACTTAGGACCAACAGAGAGCTTCTTTGCCTTCAGTGACTGCAAGAATAAGAGGCAGACATGCTTGAGAAGGAAAATTAGCTCTTTCCCAGCCAAAACCACGACAGAGGTGAAAAGGAGGAGGGAGAAAGAGCAACTTAAACTCCTCTTCCTACAAGCAAATTCATTAGTCGCTACACAGAGCAGTTCCTGCCTACCTGCTCTGTTGCCAGGGCTAATTTTCCCTAACCCAGCATGGACTCGGTGTATTTCATACCATATGCTCTACCATCCAGACCACAGCCACTAAAATAAACCCCATTTATTCCACGTTTCCAGACTTATCACTTACATTACATATCACCTATCCAGATGGAGAAAAGCAGTAGAGAACAAGGTGCCTGAGTGAGAAAGCAGAAAACAGAAGCAGCCTGGCCATGCCTTTGATGTACCAGGTGTGTGCAAGAGGGTGAGAGGAAAATGTCCCAGGGCAGCTGGTAGGAAATGAGATGAAAGGTATTGGGCTTTACTCTGCTTCTTTAAAGTTGGACCAGGACTCACAGTAAAATCTGCAAGTGGGTGGCCACAACAGTCCCTTCTGACAAGCACAGAGAGAGGAGCAGAGGAGGAGACTGTGGTTGTTCCCAGACTAAGAAAGGGAACAGTGCCATGGTGCTCACCTGCTCCTTGCTGCTTGCTGAGGGAAATGCTCTGGCTCTGACAGCCCAAGCATTTTCTGTTCAGCTCTGTTAAAAACCCCCCACATGCCAAACAGGAGCACTCGGGTACATAACAGTAGAATACATCTCAGCATTCTGGACTTTATGGGAGCAATACAGGCCATTTGAGACCTCTAGAAACCCACAGTAGCTTGGAAGATTTCACATAATGGATGTGTTCCAAGTAGAAGCAAGGTATTTAAGACCACCCGTGGACCAAAATTTAGTGATGAAGGTACAGCTATGTTTCTAACGAAATGTATGCCCATGCAGGAATAATAAAGCCAGACGAGATACAGGTTTACAGTTGCCATGGCCTTTTACTGCTGTGATGCTACAGCAGTATGCTCACTTTGGGAAGAATTTTGAAGGGAAGCCTTCTCCCAGACAACAAACCAATCCCCACTGAAGCCTGACCTTTTCCAGATAAAACCTGAAAAAAAAAAAAATCTGTATTTTTAGCTAATGCCTTTTGGGTTCTATTTAAAAACAGAGGTTAAAAATGAAATTTCACCACAAATATTGTTAAAAATATCTCTGCCATCTAATTTTTTTGAAGGAGTTTGTCTGCCCCTCCTCCCAACAACCTCAAGTTCTGGCACCTGGTACTGAGAAAGAGAACAGATGTCTGGGGGAGGGCTGAGAGCGTGTGCCTGCAAGGAGTTAGGCAGCTGTGTGAGATACAAAGGGAATGAATTCAAGAAGCAACCTCACATGCTAAAGAAGAATACATGAAAACTGTACAATATATCATGAAGAGAGAAGAGCTTTTACTACAGCAGGTCATTTACAATTGCCCCAGTTGTCCTGAAAGTTGAAGTATTCTGGTAAAACATTTACAGCTCTGTAAACCCACAGGACTGTTAATTACCTGAGTATTTCAGTTTTAAAGACAGATTAAAATAAAATGCATTGTTGTACTTTATTATTTTTAACTAAATAAAGCAAATTTTTCTGCAGGCATCATCGTAAACACATGCTGGTCTAGATCTCTGTGTGCATGGAGATGTCAGATCATGACACAGGAAGAGAATGGTTTCCTCTACAAATCCTCCTACCAGCCAGCAATACATCCATGTATTTATAAACCTACTGCTGTAATATATGAGCACATCATGAATACTTAATCAGCAAAATAATTTCCCTCTCCTTTACAAAACTGGCATTTTGAACAATTTACTATGTTCCTGGCTTATGTGTGCCTCTCTGTGTGTGCAAACAGAAGGCTGAACACATAAGGCTTTCTGTTCTCAAGCTCTGTGTGATGAGGTACTATGGCTTCTCTGGGGGCTGGGAGAGTTGAATCTCAGACTATGAAAAAATCAATGTATCATCCTTTTCCTGATGCCAGTGGAAAGTCAGGGGACTCCACAGGTGAGCAGAGAGTTTCCTGCAGGCAGACACAGTCAATTGCATGGCTGAATGTTAAGAGTGAGGGTTTATGCATTTTAGCCTGCTTTCAGCAGAGACCTGTCTGTGACAGGAGGACAGCTGGACAACATCCTCCTTCTGACCTTGTGACTCTGGACCAGAATGCACAAAACACAAGATCTGGGGCTCTGCAGCTCCACAGCTCTAGGTAACAAACAAAAAAACCATGCCCAGGGAACAATGGAAAGTAGATCACATCAAACAGATCGTTCCCAGCCAACAGCAAATCTTTGCCTCCTGTGGGGCTGAGTGTGAACTTTTGAGGACATTTCAACTGCTGTTTATCATGTAAAAAGTGAAAAATTCTCTTTAGGTAGAAAAAGACATCCAAAATGCATTTAAAAAACCCCAGCCTTTTGAAAACTCCAATAAGATGAACACACAGTCTTATGCAAATACACTTTATTTGTACTTATGTGTTTCTATACATGCATATACAGGCATAAAATGGCATGTCCTATATGCTCAGTACTCATCATATAAGAACCATCAATTTTCTAACATGGCTTTTCAATAACTGTTGGAAGATTAAATGACTGAAACAACAAGCAGTTAAGACATGTGTTCATCAGAGTACTACAAAGAACAACACAGTTCCTCAAGGATTCCACTGAATTAATGAAAGCTGCAAGATGAACTACAGAGCTAAAGGACAATTCCACAACCCTGACACACAAACACACATAGAGGTTAGGGATCCACATGGCCGACGGGGTAGTGCGAGATGGCTGTCTGAAGCCTGAGACATGGAAAGTCAACTTCATGACCCCTTTTCTTCCTACCCCTCAAGCCTAGCAATCCTCTCCCAAGAAAATAAGCAGACCACTGCTGAGAATGTGGCTGTACAGTGCTGAAAAATATAGGTATATAAATATATATATATATATATATATATGTATGTATGTTTTAAATCTCTAAGGTGACCACTCCACGCATGCAGGATAAGAAAGCCTTTGACTCCACAGCAGGCAGGGATGCCAAAGAGGAGTAAAATCAACACAGTACCAAGGTAGACATCAAGCAATTGATCTCTGAGTTTAAAGCTATAATGAATTATTTGACATCCATGAATCTGCCAAGAAAGCTACTCTTCTGGAAGATCCAGAGGAATGAGAGGGAGGAGGGAGAGAAAGGGAGAG